TAGAGACGGGGTTTCACCATGTTAGCCAGGATGGTCTCGATCTCCTGACCTTGTGATCCACCCGCCTCGGCCTCCCAAAGTGCTGGGATTACAGGCGTGAGCCACCGCGCCCAGCCTCACATATCAAGCTTTTGGTGCAGTCACTCACCGTGTCATTTTCCAGTGTCTAACTGGCTCCCTTTTTATTTTGAAATGTCCACGTCCTCTTGATTTCTGTCCCCGCTTTTGTTGTATGGTGCATAGAGGTGTTTTTGTCAGTCTCCCTGAATATGAACATAGCTAAATCCTTTTCGGGAAATTGCTCCATTCTCTGGAGCCTGCCCGTGGGGCGTTTCCGTTTGCAGAATCTGTCGGCTCTTTTCTGAGGGTCTCAGTCTCAGCGCAGCTCATCTTGTCAGGGGGTCTTTGGTGTGTCTCCCTTCCTGTCCTTGTTCTCGCCCACATTGGGGGGTCTTATTATGAACTGCAGAGGTCCCCAGGGCTTCCCAGCTGGAGACCAGGAGTTAGCGGGACAGAGGCCCCATCCCTCTGGGTGGCACGGCCTGCGTTGGTGGTGCCATCCCTGACCCCGTCGGTGCTGGGGCTCGGCCCCAGGGTCTCTACCAACCCCTGCAGCCCATGTGGCTCCAGGAACCATCACCTCGATACTCACTCGTCTCCTCTGCGTCCTTTCTCTGTACGGGGTTGCCTGCTGCCATGTGTGGAGCCACAAGCTCCGTGTGCTTCCTGTAACGGGCAGCGGACCCGAATGCCAGGCTCTCCTCCTGCCGTCTTGTCACCACCATCACCCTGGGCCCCCTGAGCTCCCGGTGCAGCTCTGACAAAGCCTGCAACGTCCAGCTGGAGCTGCACCTTTGCTGCCACTTGTGGGCCCCTGGTCCCTTCTTCCCCGGCATGAACTCTGAGGAGCTCTGCCCGACACCCTCCCTGCCCCCAGCAGCCGAGGCACTCCCTCAAGGATAGGACTGACTGTGGAGGCCGCCCTGGCACTGGGAGCGACGCGGCCTACTGACCCTGGAATCAGACAGCAGGCCCTGCATGCTGCCAGCCCCGGCAGATGTGCCAGGCATCTCCCTGGATGTCACAGAGGGGGGACAGGGCAGTGTGACAAAGTCTGGCACCAGCACATGACCTCAGACGCACGTCACCTGTCAGCAGTGACTGCAACCACCACTCCACTGGGGCCACCATGCCAGCGGTGACGTCACCCGTCAGCAGTGACGAGATCCACTCCACTGTGCCAGCGGTGCCCAGTCTCCCTCCCTGCAGACAGAGACCGGACGACAACGTGCTGTTGCCAAGTGTTTATTCAGGGCCCTGAACGGGTGGTGCGTGGACATGCAGCACACTCGGGCCCACAACAGCGTGACCGGCCGCTCCCAAGCCCCGGGCGCACAACCACAGCCAGGCTGCCAGAGCCAGCAGCCCCTGCCACCGCTGGGCCACTGTCCGGGGCCCTGCAGGACCAGCCGAGGGTGCCCCAGGCTGAGGCCAGCTGGGGCGGGTGAACCCCTAGCCTGGGGATGAGCGAGAAGTGGCACCCCCAGTATCCTGTGCACCCCAAGCTGGCCAGGAGGCCAAGGGGACCTTGGGTTCCAACCTCACTGGCCACCCTGTGCCAAGCATCACAGCTGCGTGAGCAGGTTTGCGTGTGAGAGCGTGGCGGGGCCTGGCTGTCCCCTTCCTAAGGCGTAACTGCTACAAGCGTCTCCACCTCTCCCGCTCGGGAAAGAACCACAGAGCCTGGGTGGCGTCGAGGGGTCCCAGCGGCTCCAGTGCACCCAGCACCCCTCAGCGCCTCTGGCTGGCAAGCCAGGAGAAGAAGGCGCGAGGCCGCGGACGACGTGCCTGGAAGACGCGCACGGTACGTGGGGAGCGCCAGGCTTTGATGGTGGCATCGTCGCTGGCCGTGAGCAGCAGCTCCTGCTCCTGGGGACTGAAGGCCACTGAGTTGACCACATCCTCGTGCCGCAGCTTGGCCAGGCAGATGTTGTAGTGGCGGTCCCAGATGTAGCCATGCCGGTCCTCCGCCCCGCTGCAGAACAGCGCCTGGATGAGCCGGTCGCCCGCCTGCTGCGCCCACGCCCGCCCTGCACCACGCTGCGCCCTGCACCTGGCCACGAAGTCCCTGCTGACGTCCAGGAAGATGAAAAAGCACTCATCGTTGGGCGTGTAGGCGCGGTGCGCACGCAGAGCCCGCCTCACCTCCCGCATGGTCTTGAGGTCGAACACCAGCAGGTCAATCTCCTCCGCGATGGGTGGCGGCTGCATGGGGTCGGCCACCACCGCACCACTGGGCCAGGCGCGGCTGTTCACATACAGGTACCTGGACGAGGGGCACTGTGCTAGGTATGGGCCGCCTGCGGGCACCCCGCCTGGGACACTGGCAAGAGGCCCACCTGTTGTCGGGCGACAGGCCCATGCCAATGATGTGCCCATGCACGTCTATGACGTGGTCCAGCGCATCGAAGAAGGCGTCAGAGCCCCGGCCCTCGCCCAGCACGGGCCCCGCCGTTGTCATCTGGTGTGGCAGGATCTGCTTGATGCCTGCAGGGAGGGCTGCGGTGAGGGTCCCTGCCCAGTGCCCCAGGGACGTCACTCCAGGGCAGCCCCCTACCCCAACGGTGTCTCTGGGGCTGTGGGCACCGCAGAAGTCCGCGGGCACTGCCTGCTCCGGGGGCCCCAGACCTGAATCAGGCCCCTCAGCTGCTCGCTGGCAGGCGGGCCTGCCTGTTTGTTTTCACCGCTCATCCCGCAGGCCCCACACGACGCCAGGTCTGGACTTGTGACCCCGAAGTGAGTGAATGATCCCAGCTGTGCCTGCAGACTTGCTTGCCATCTGCCCCCCAGGACCCCTGCCCGGCCTCCCCCAAGCTGCTAGGACCGAGGCGGGCAGCATGGCGGCAGGGGTGTACCGATCTGGTGTGGGGAGTAGGTGAGGCAGCCAGTGGTGAAGATGAGGTACTTGCTCCTGGCGCCTGTGGCACTGCGCTCAGGGGGCTTGGTGTGGCCCTGGGCCAGCAGCTCAGCCACCTTGGTCTCTAGCACGCGCTCCGATGGCTGTGGCTGCGCCCGCCCCTCCAGCACGCGGTCCAGAAAGTGCCGCAAGCCCTCCTTGGCATGGGCGGGGGCCGGGCCAGCCACCTCCTCCTCGTTGTCTCCGCCCAGGTCAAAGATGCGGCAGGGGGACGTGGCCGGGTCGCCGGCTTCCAGCAGGAGGTCAGGGCTGTCGAAGCGGCTGCAGTCGGCCACCATCACCGTGCGGATGGTGCTGGCGTTGAGGTTCTGGATCTTGAACAGCCGCTTCACCACATTGACGTTCTCTGACTCCAC